CAACCAAGGAACCCTCAAACAGGAAAGGAAAACAATCCGTCACTTTTTTTGGACATCCACTTAGTACATTAACTGACCTATGGAAATTCATTCTATAGAGAGAAATTTTGTATTAATTTATTTCAGTACTTCTTAAAATACCTATCACCTAGTTTGTCCTTGGGTTTTTCCCCATTTCAGAGTCCTTTCCTTTTTAAAGGAGAGAACACATAAAGGGTGGGATAAAGTACTAAATATATTTTGATTTATGCTACTTTGGAGGCAAGAATTCCACTGAAATCATATATTCTGAATCCAAACCATATCTTTCCAGATTTATTGTCTGAGAGGCTGTTCCTTTCCTATTAGCTTTAATTCTTCCTTTGTTTGTTGATTTTACTGAAAATGAAGAGCATTAAGCAGAAATCCATTAAGCATTATAGTATAAAGACATAAATACACAAGATGATGAAGTGACCTTGCTTTGTGGGACCTTCAATATGGGCACAAGCAAACAATGGAAAATTTCTCCAGAAAAGTCTATTTATTAAAAGACCCCAGATTTAGGGAACCTAGGGGTGAGCACAGGCATCAGCCACTCTACAATGATTTTGGGAAAACATAGTCTCTCTGAAACTTTGGGATATATTCCTCCCTAAAGGAAGTGAATTTTTTTGAGTTATTTATCAAAGATGCCCCCTCACCTTGCACCTTTCCCAGACTACGATCGAACTGATTAACTACTTTTTGACAGGGTGAATGGAGGAATATGTGAACCTATATTCCCTCTTCAATATGGAACAACAGGTCTCTCTTCCCTACAGGAAAACTTGAGGTGAATATGGTAGCCGCAAAAAAGGAAAAACAGCAAAATGTTTGATACGAAAGATATAACAAGGGAGGACAGTTTTTGCTATTGCTTGGGTGATGAGGGAGATTTTGCCAAAGAGTTAATTTAGAAATACTGATAGGTAGGCAGAAGCTTGGACAATAAACGGAGCCAATTAAATTGGACAATAAAATTATTTAAATAATTTCAAAAATTATTTAAATTTTTTTAAATAATTCAACTGAATTATCTCAAACAGTGACATAGTACGTTCTCATTACATAGGAGACCTTAAAATCATTGTTATTTCCCCAACCTTCGAAAACTGTCCTACCATCAGTACCCTCTAAGATGACTTTGCTAGGGAAGGAAATAGCCCCAAACTTATGTCACCTTCCTGGAACTTGACTGCTTAATGTGAAGATTTTAAAAAGCTGGAGTAATCACTGATTCTCAGTTGGGACACCTTCGACAAGTCATCCCAGACACAGGGTTTTTACTTCTGATGACACTATGTCCCTCTGGCTTTTTTCCTCTGTCAACACTGCCTATCCACCAACATCTCTGAATACAAGTGTAGTCTTACTATGCACAAACCCTCATAGAACTTCCTGCATGCCAATCTCCACCTCGAGGGATCTCACATGTGACATCGTGATATTTCCAAAGTGTTTATCACCTCTACATTATAACTGAAAACTGGTTTTTAAGTTTTAAGCTTCACCCAAGCCCTATGAAATCATCTACTGATCTGACTTTCTGATTTTGGGTCTCTTTCCTACGTTTTTGCATCTTGGAAACCTCCATTTCTGCCTGCTTCCAACCCACAATGCAACACTAAGACACCAGTCTTGAGGAAAGGTGTCAAGTTTTAGTCCCTATTTTCCTATTCCTGTTCCCATAGTTTTAGTTTCTAGAAAGGCAAAGCCTACACAACACACGTTTTTAAATGTAATTTCCAAGTACAAAGTCAAGCACTGATTTCACCCATTTATCTTCCAAAGGACCATCCATTCTAGTCTATTGTCTTATTGATTAAAGTCTCAATGAAATGAAATATTGGGTATTATAAACAATCCTTTGTTTTGACATAGTATTCCAAACCTAAGGAATACAATAAAAATACAAATATAAAGCATTTGCAGGTTTTGCAAAATATTTTATTAAACTAATGAAGGCTATGAGATTTGGTCCCAGTTCTCCTGTAAAACCATTGAAATGAAAAGTTGGTAAGCAAGGTTAAACCAGCTGACAATGAAAGAAGAGACAAACTCCAAAGATAACTTTAAAATACTTGAAGAGAAAATAATTTGATCTTCGGGAGATAAAGAACTCTTGGACTTAAGGAAAGTACTGATCATTAAAACAAACAATCAAAAAACAACCAAAAAAACTCTTTTAAAGTCATGATATAAAAGACCGGTGGCAAGTGAAAGCTATTTTACCCAAATCTCATTGATTTATAATAAAAATCATGCATCTGTTTTAAAATAATTAAATCTACTTGACCTGTTTGTTCAGAGTTAGATCAGTATTGCTTTCACAACCTATACTTTAAATACACGATTAATATATAAATAAACTTACTTTAATAATTGTTTCATTTATCACACATAATACAAACAAATTTGTTATATTATATACTACAAAATATGTATCCTTGTAGCCAGAGAGATGGTTCAGCAGATAGGGTACTTTTCTTATATACTGGGTTCGAACCCCCAGCATCACATATGGTCTCTTAAGCCCACCAAGAGTGATTCCTGAGCCAGGAGTAAACCCTGAGCACTGCCGGATAAACAAGAAAAAATATAAAAACATCTTTCTGTGGATTTTACATGCTCTTACCTAAGCAAAACCCTAACTAAGTTTTGAACACCCCATCCTCCTGATCTAAAGCTGACCTCTACCTTCTCCATCTATGTCTACGGCACTCTGCCTCCTCTATACCTTTGTTGTCAAGTTATTACCTTTCTATCCAGGGACACAGCACCCTAATAACTCCAGATCTTTACTCTTGTTCCTTTTAGCTCTGAAACAGTAGTTCAGAGTCTACACTTTCGCATTTTATTAAATAAAAGACATCATTTCCATTAAATAGGAATCAAACAAAATTGCAAATGCTACACCCTAGAAAACAGAATTCGGGGAACTGTGCTTTGTATATGCAAGAGTCCTGCTCCATCCCCAGCACTCATGACCCCTGGAGCACTGCCAGAAGTGAACAGCTTTAAACCATCCTGTGTGGTTGGCAGAGTTTGGCTGGGAGTGACTCCAAAGTCTTGAGCACAGTTTGGAAGCTCCCGAAATAAAACTAATTACAGGTACATAGCATAGAAATGCATCTATAGAGACATAAGTGTCTCTTTGTGTATAAAATATGGACCTATTTGTCCATATTTGTCCTATATGTACATGCATGTATGATTCTCCATTTCAATGTATAAATCATTAAAAAATCCTATTTAAGCCATTTAAAAATTTATGCTAAATACATAAGTAAAATGTAATAGATTGAGCGTCTAATGAATAGAGGCAAAGTGGTTTTAATTCCCGCCCCCATCCCCAAAGTCTTGGGTCTTATATAAATAAGACTAAATGACTAGAGTAACTGTGACAATGTGGGAAGTTATAAAATTTTGCTAAAAATATTAAAATAAAATTAAAAAACCTCTTCCTGGAAGGTACTACTGGCATGAAAAACAACCAGAACATCCATCAAATTAAAATCATGTATGAAGCAAAATCCCATTTGCATGAAGAATAACAGAGCATCAATCAGAAGAAACACATGGATATGGTAAAAATACAGAGGGAAGAAAAATCTGAAGAGGGAACTAGAAACCAAGAATACAAAGAGGATGGATACAAGGATTTTGCATAGAATAAGACCTCTCTACAAAGTTCAGCAAAAAGGGAGCACAAGAGTGCTCGACTATTTGTAAAATGAGAGTAAAGTCGAACCGTAAAGAGGGAAAGGAAGGAAAGTAGAGAGAGGGTGGGGTGAGAGGCGAGGAGGGAAGATTTCATCTTGGAGAGGAGACTAGGCATGAGGTCTGAAAGGAGATAATCACCCAGCCCAGCAGCCAGCAGCTAAAGGGTTTGGCAGGCAGTAGGAAGCAGGTGTGCTTAGCCATAAAACAAGCACTGCCTGCCAGGCGCTGGCGTCTTCCCAGATTCATGTGAACTGTACAGGCATATGGGGTTGATGATAAAGAGTGACAGGAGGGAGATGCAAGACTAGAAACCGGGTCACATGCAGAACCTGGCTGTCTCATATATCCTCAAACCCCTGCAGACTCTCTCCTACTCAAAGTTTGGATATCTAGTAGGAAAGAATAATTTGGCAGGTGCTTCATCTATTCTTCAACCCAGTTGTAGGGAATGTGTCTTGGGGGAGTGCTTTTTTTTGCCATGGTGAGAATGTCAGAATAGAAGTTTGGAATTCAAGCAGAAGAGACTGCAACCAGGCACTAGTTCCCTGGTTTCAGTACCTCCCAGAGTCTCTGTGTTCCCATCTGGAAAAGGAGAAGGGGAAGATTTGATGGTGGATTCCGTTCGATGTTATCTGTGTACATGCTTGTGCCAGCTTGAGCTGAATAGCGTTCTTTTTCTTGGACACTGCCAGAGCCTTTCTCTCCGTCTGTTTCTCTGTTTCTCTCTCGCTGTGCCTCTCTTTTTATGTCTTTCTCTATGTCACACAAACATACAACACACACAGGAGTCCAGGTAGAGTCAGGGCTGCCAAACGTCCATCTCATCTCGTAGTGTGACAAGAAGCTCTGATATGCGTTTCCTTCTTCACTGATGAAATCGCATTTATTATTGGGTACCAGTCCTAAGTCCAAAATTAGATAGGAGGAGCTATAAATGGGGAACCAAAAAGGTAATAAATACTCTGATTTCTCCCCTGGAGACAGAGACCAGGAGCATACCCTTTGGAAGATCCCAGTTCAATGAACTAGTGTCTTCAGCTATAATCAAGATTCTTCAAAGAAGCAAAAGCAGGAGCTGGAATGAGAGAACAGTAGGGAGGGCATTTGCCTTGCATGCGGCTGAACTAAATTCGATCCCCAGCATCCCAGATGGTCCCCCAAGCATGACTAGGAGTAATTCCTGAGTGCAGAGCCAGGAGTAACCCCGGAGCATTGCCAGGTGTAACCCCAAAAAAATAATTTATAAAAGAAGGAAAGTGCTCTCTTCGCAGCACATATACTAAAATTAAAACAATACAGAGATTAGCATGGCCTCTGCGCAAGGATGACACACAAATTCATGAAGCGTTCCATATTTTTGAAAAGAAAACTACAGGCCAATATCCCTGATGAACACGGATGCCAAGATTCTGAACAAAATACTAGCAAATAGAATTCAACTACTAATCACAAAGATCATACACCATGACCAAGTAGGATTCATCCCAGGGATGCAAGACTGGTTTAATACTTGGAAATCAATCAACATAATCCATCATTACAACAAAAGAAAAGATAAAAATCACATGATCATATCAATAGATGCAGAGAAAGCATTTGACAAGATCCAGCACCCGTTTATGATGAAAACCCTTGCCAAAATGGGGATAGTAGGGACTTTCCTCAATATAGTTAAAACCATCTACCACAAGCATACAGCAAGCATCATCCTCAATGGGAAAAAACTGAGAGCCTTCCCTCTAATATCAGGGACAAGACAAGGATGTCCACTCTCTCCACTGCTGTTGAATATAGTACTGGAAGTACTTGCAGTAGCGATTAGGCAAGAAAAAGATATTAAGGGCATCCATGTAGGAAAGGAAGAAATCAAGCTTTCACTATTCGCAGATGATATGATACTATACTTAGATAACCCTAAAACCTCTACCAAGAAACTCCTAGAAACAATTGACTTGTATAGTAAAGTTGCAAGCTATAAAATCAATACCCAAAAGTCCATGGATTTCCTATATGCAAATAGTGAAAGAGAAGAAAGTGATATGAAGAAAACATTCCTGTTCACAATTGTACGTCAGAAAATCAACTATCTAGGAAATCAGCTTAACTAAGGAAGTAAAGGACCTGTACAAAGAAAACTACAAAACGCTACTTCAGGAAATAAAAGAGGATACGAGGAAATGGAAAAATATCCCCTGTATTTGGATCGGGAGAATTAACATTGTCAAAATGGCAATACTTCCCAAAGCACTGTACAAATTCAACGTGATCCCTATTAAGATACCCATGACATTCTTCAAAGAAATGGAGCAAACAATCCTGAAATTTATATGGAACAATAAGCTCCCATGAATAGCTAAAGCAATTCTTGGAAAAAAGAAAATGGGAGGAATCAACCTCCCTAACTTCAAACTCTACTACAAAGCAGTAATTAAAACAGCATGGTACTGGAACAAAGGCAGAGCTGTAGACCAATGGAGCAGGGTTGAATATACAGGCATCTCGCCCCAAGCACACGACCATCTAATCTTCGATAAGGGGGCAAGAAAAGTGAAGTGGAGCAAGGAAAGCCTCTTTAACAAATTGTGCTGGCAAAACTGGAAGGTTACATGCAAAAAACTGGACTCATATACTCATATCTCTGCCTAACGCCTTGTACAAAAGTAAGATCAAAGTGGATTAAAGACCTCAATATCAGACCGAAATCCATAAGGTACATTGAGAAAAAGTTGTCAATACCCTCCATGACATTGAAGCTAATGGTATCTTCAAAGATGTCACGCCACTGGCCAAGCAAGTGAAAACACAGATAGACAAATGGAACTATCTTAAACTAAGAAGCTTCTGCACCTCCAAAGAAACAGTGACCAAAATACAAAGACTAGGAAAGGATATTCACCGAATACACATCTGACAAGGGGTTGATATCAAGGATTTACAAAGTACTCGTTGAACTCCACAAGAAGAAAAAATTCAACCCCATCAAAAAATGGGGCGATGAAATGAATAGAGACTTTCTCAAAGAAGAAATCCGAATTGCTAAAAGGCACATGAGAAAATGCTCCACATCATTAATCATCAGGGATATGCAGATCAAAACCACAATGAGATATCATTTCACACCACAGAGACTGGCCCACATCCACAAGAACAAAAGCAGCCAGTGCTGGCGCAAATGTGGTGAGAAAAGGACCCTTCTTCACTGATGGTGGGAATGCCGACTAGTTCAGCCCTTTTAGGAAACCGTATGTATGATTCTCCAAAAATTAGAAATTGAGCTCCCATTTGACCCAGCAATACCAATCCTGGGAACATATCCCAGAGAGGCAAAAAAGTATAGTTGAAGTGACATCTGCACTTGTTTGTTCACCGAAGCACTCTTTACAATAGCCAGAATCTGGAAAAAAACCTGAGTGCCGAGAACAGATGACTGGTTAAAGAAACTTTGGTACATTTCCACAATGGAGTACTATGTAGCTGTTAGAAAAGATGAAGTCATGAAATTCACATGTAAGTGGTACTACATGGAAAGTATCATGTTAAGCGAAATGACTCAGAAAGAAAGGGATAGACATAGAAAGTTTGCATTCATATGGGGAACATAAAGTAACAACATAGGAGACTAATACCCAAGAGTGGCCGAGATTAGTACCAGGAGTTTTGCTCCATGACTTGGAAGCCAGCCACACATGCTAGGGGAAAAGGGAGCTCAGATAGAGAAGGGAGCACCAAATAAAGGGTGTTAGGAGAATCCTCCCAGGATGGGAGAAGCATGCTGAAAGTAGACTATAGACCAAACGTGATTGCCACCCAGTGCCTCTTTTGCAAACCACAACACCCAAAATGAGAGAGAGAGAGAGAGAGAGAGAGAGAGAGAGAGAGAGAACAAAAGGAAATGCCCTGCCACAGAGGCAGGGTGGGATAGGGAGGATGGGGGGGGTTGGAGGGATACTGGGACCCGTGGTGGTGGAAAATGGGCAATGGTGGAGGGATGGATACTTGATTATTGTATAACTGAAACCTGAGCACATAAATTTGTGGGTCTATAACTGTACCTCATGGGGTTTCACTAATAAAAATTTTTAAAAAAGCTAATGTTTAAAGTAAACAATTTTATAAAGTGCAGATTATATGTATTGCATAAATAAATATAATTTGTATAGTAGAAAAATAAAGAAATGAGCATACAAAATTCTGAAGGATTAAAGAGTTTCCAGCGCTAATGTTCAGTCAGCTCACAGGAGACTGCACAAGCAAGATAACTATGAGCGCCAATGGCCTAGTTCAAATCTGAAGGTCTGAGAACATGTGAAGCAGAAGAGAAGTTTCCAGTCTAAGAGCCAAAAACAAAGAAAAGTTAAAATATCAGTTTGAGTCCAAAGGCACAAAAATATACTCTGATGTCCAAGCTCAAGTAAGTTGAGGAGGCATAATTCTTCCTATTATCAGGAGACTCAACCTTTTGGTTCTACTCAGACCTTCCTTTTGATTGGATAGGGTCTACCCACTTAAGGGATAGAGTTTGCTCTCCACCTACCAATTGAAAATTAATCTTATCCAGAAACACTTTCATGCACATACTCGGAGTCCTTTTTGACCATACTTGGGCACTCTATGTTCCAGTAAAGTTTGCACCTAGGAATATATATCACATTAACCAAACGATATGGAAAGAAGTAAGTAGGGAATGAAGAGAACCTGTAATGAGAAATTTAAGACCCCTTGAATTCATTTACATTTAATATCCTTCATGAAGAAAAGTAAAATGCTTACATCCTGTAGAATTCTTCAAATGAGGCACAGAAGAAAATGACTCTATTCCATTATGAAGAAGACTAGATATGGATTTTTCTAAGAGAAACTGGGGTCTTAACAATGTCTAGAGGTATGATTATGATCCCATATGTGTTGACGTTAACATGGGCATTTTAATTGCTTTGTTTCATATTTTCTGCAGACTAACCCTCAGAGCTAAGCTCCATGTGAAGAGGCAGAACTTTGAAAGGTTAAGTAATAAGGTTTTTGGTTGGTTAGTATAAGTTTTCTCTAGATGCAAAAAAACCTTCAAAAGCCCATAAACCTTCTAGATTTGAGTTTCAACAAAGTTTATACAAAGTACTCGTTGAACTCCACAAGAAGAAAAAATCCAACTCTATCAAAAAATGGGGCTATTTGGAGTTGTATAAACCTCCAAATCTCTCTTTTCGCAGGGCACTCCAAAAAGCACTCATGCCTGCAAGCATCAAACTCACCAAGATACATATTATCCAAAACAGTTTACACTAACTAGATCTGAGTTTGCATTCTGAACCTCCAATTAGGGTGTATAAATTGGGATCCAAAAACCAAACTTTTTTATTGTTTCCCTGTCAGGATTTTTTGCATGAGTTTTCTGGCACATAAACCTCTTATGAAATTTGATGTGCAAATATGTTTAAAGCACTTAGAACTATGGCTGGAACATGGGTCAGGAAGATGAAAAATCAGCCTTTGAACTCTTATTATTGCCTAATGTCAACCTCCAGTTCCAATCTTGACTAGATTTATTTAATTTTTTGGCTTCCCAGTAGGAATATTTTCAGAACTATTACCTGAATTCAGGCATCTTTTGGTTTTCACTTTAGAAAAGTTGCTCTTGCTACAAATTTGACTTGGTTCTCTCTACTTCAAACTCGTTTTCTTGGCTTTTTCTATACACTGACTCCACTGAAATACACACCTGCTGTCATCCATGCCCCACTCCCTGCTGGTCTGCCAGTCTTGGGGGCTGCTCCTCCTATTTACATAGAAATGTGTCAGTTTCCCTTTTCCAAAAGTTCCCTTTGATTTGAATGAACAGCCTCATCATCCCAGTTCACCCCTTCCAAAGTGACTCTCATAAAATAGAAACCAGAACATTTGAAAATTGCCTCCAGTCCTTTCTGTGAGAGTCTTCTGTGAAAATCTCTGCAGCTGCAAGCTTTAGTAACGACCTTCAGTCGCTTGGAGAATGTATAATTCATTCCCCACCTATCTTCTCTAATCCCACTCTCGTAAAATAAATATTAACTGAACATATCTGCTAAAACAAGCCCAAATCAAGTCTCTTATCAAATGAACTCAGAGGCAGAACAAAATGCTGAGAAGCTCGTCAAAAGGAAATGCCTTTTTGGGAAGAAATATTGAAGAAGAAAAAAAAGTGCCAGAGAGACAGCACAGCAGGCCTGGCACTGTGAGGTTTGCTCAGACAAAATGGCTACCAGGACCAAATGGCAACAGGCTGATGAGACAAAAACATTCCAGAGTCAGGAATCCCCCTGCCTCCAGCTCAGAAGACAGGACTTGAGGCCCACCTGGCCACAGGTAACCTGCCAGACCAAGCA